CCCCATCCCTGGAGGTATTTAAAAGAGGGGCAGACAAGGTGCTTAAGGACATGGTTTAGTGATGGGATGGCAGTGTTAGGACTTGATGATCTTAAAGGGCTTTGCCAACCTAAACGATTCTATGAACCTCCAATCTAATCGAGGAACAGCGCAGGTGCTCCACGCCCCATGCCAGCACAGATCCCACAGGAGGCATTTTTGCTGTTTTATATTGAAAAAAGCGTAGAGCGGGATAATGCCGTGGTGCCAAGTTTCAGGCTCCTCGGTTCCTGCCGTCCTAATCCCCAGCAGCGCGTGGTGCCTGCTCTCAGCAGCATCGTGTGGAGCTCTCAGGCTCTGTAACGACAGACGTCCGTGCCTCATCAGCTCCTCTGGACAGAGCCCCTCGAGCTGACGGTGCTCTCAGCCACGGCAGCTTCCAGCCGATGAGGGCTCTTCCCGCTGCTGCTGCGTTTCTCCCGCTACCTCTTCATGCGGCTTTTGATTTTCTGCTGGGAAGCTGGTCCTCAAGGGAAGTGAAACGAATGCCCCAGGGCACAGAGTGAAAAAAACACAGCCCGAAACCTCGATGTGCCTCCTCCCTACTGTGCTGGCTCCTTTCTGAGCTAGGCAATGAGGTGATTAAAAGCAATAATTACAGCAGGAGAAATACAGCGCCGGAAAATGACACCCCTTTTATATTTTTCACAAAGACGTCGTGCCGTACCGGAGCCGTAACTGCCGAGGAGCTTTTCCTCCTGCCAGCAAACATTTCCTAAGGGTCCGAGGCCCAAACATCGTGGTGGGATCTCTGGATGTTGCGCACAAGCACTTTCCCTCCTGCACGGGGGTGGAGGGGAACGCGTGGCTGATCATAGAATCATAGAATCATAGAATGTTTAGGGTTGGAAGGGACCACTAGTGGTCATCTAGTCCAACACCCCTGCAGTGAGCAGGGACACTGCTAACTAGATCAGGTTGCTCAGAGCCCCATCCAACCTGGCCTTGAGGCCTATATAAATATTTATATATATATATATATATATAAAAGCCCATATTACTCCCTTTTTCTCCCAAGCAGGAATTGTGCTTCTGTTGCTCCTAACTGCCAGAAAGCCGTATGGCCTAACGCAAATCCCCATCTCTGCTTTCCTCCACCCACAGTTTGGGAAACAGTGTGTAAGAGCACACGTTTATAAATACGTTTTCAGAATACCTTCCCTCGCCCGTGCTTCTGGTAATGGAAAACGTCAGCACCGGCCCCAGCTCCAACGGGAGGATCGCAGGACGCCCGCTGACATCCCACGCTGGCGCTGTGGCCTTTGGGGATGGATCACGAGCCCGGCCGGGTTCTGGGCTCAGCGTGGATGAAGTCCTGTGTAGATTGCTCTAGGAGAACCTGCTTTAGCAGGGGGGTTGGACTGGATGATCTCCCGAGGTCCCTTCCAACCCTTGCCATTCTGTGTGGCCCTGGCGAGCAGAGCCTTGGCAGGCGGCTCAGGGGCGTCCGTGCCAGCATGCACGCTGAGCCCCGCGCCCCATTGCTACCGCCGGCATCAGATGGGAGCGTGAATATCAGGGTTTGAGTGGTTTAACCGGCCTCTTTTTCCTTCCTCTTTTTAGTGCAAAGCCGAGCAGTTGGCACAGCTCTGCAGAGCTGCTTCTGCGAGGAGCGCAGGATCCATAGGGTTTCCCCACCTGGCTTCCTCCGGCGTAGCTGCCCCTGGTGACGTTCGTGCAACCAGATCAAACAGTTGCTGTGGACCCAGCGGCGCTGCTATAGGTGCTATAGGGGGGATGAAAGGATAAAAGGGGTGTTAGGGGGATGGAAGGATTGAGGGCAGTCCTGCCCAGAGGGACTTGGGGGTACAGGAGGGTGAAAAGCTGGCCATGAGCCAGCCATGGGCGCTGGCAGCCCAGAAGCCAACTGTGCCCTGGGCTGCATCCCCAGCAGCGTGGCCAGCGGGGCGAGGGAGGGGATTCTGCCCCTCTGCTCTGCTCTGGGGAGACCTCCCCTGGAGCCCTGCGTCCAGCTCTGGAGCCCTCAGCACAAGGAGGACATGGACCTGTTGGAGCGGGGCCAGAGGAGGGCTACTAAAATGCTCCGAGGGCTGGAGCCCCTCTGCTCTGAGGCCAGGCTGGGAGAGTTGGGGGTGTTCAGCCTGGAGAAGTGAAACCCTGGCAGGGGTTGCCCAGAGAGGGGGTGGAGGCCCCATCCCTGGGAACATTCCAGGCCAGGTTGGCCGGGGCTGTGAGCAACCTGATGTGGTTCAAGGTGTCCCTGCTCCTGCAGGGGGGTCGGGCTGGGTGGCCTCTAAAGGTCTCTTCCAACCCAAAGTATTCTATGATTCTATAGGGCCTGTTCCAATCGTTCCCTCCTCTACCTGCAGTGGTGCAGCCTGCAGCCCTCCACGAGCAGCCAAACGCAGCCAGCAGCTTCTCCAGCAGCCGCGGGGCCAGGGCTGCAGGTGAGCACCACACTGCACTCGCATCTGTGCAGTCCTCGCTGGCCGCAGGCTCGGGAAAACATTCCTTATTTTCACACTATTACGGTCGAGTGACAAAGCCCCGACTCTAACTACAGCCGTATCACCAGGCTGCGTGTAACGAGGCCATCAAACACCAGGCGCTGTGGCTGGGTGACGTGAAGTTGGCCGTACTCAAAGAATTTAACTGCCAGTTCGGTCTCTCCGTAAATGTGCAACACCTACGCTCAGTGCTGCCCTCATCTCTGGAGCGGGCACGCAGCCACCTGCCAGAGGACACACTGCTTCAGAACGTGAAATCTGTTAATGCTGCAGAGCGACAGAGATTTTTTCCGAGGGGTTCTGGGAATCTGGGGATTCGGAGGATGTAGGGTTTTCCCTAGTCGGGGGAACGAGGGAGGAGCAGTGCTCAGCCCAGCCTGACCGCGATACGGTGAACAAAAAGCAAAACTGATGGCGAGAGATTGCAGGTGGTGAGCAATAACGCGCCAGGCCTGAAAGGGCCAGAAATCAGCAATGGCCACGCTGTCTCCGAGACACTGTGCTTCTCCGTGGAGCTGGCCGGCCAGGAGGATGATGCCCACGCCACTTTTTAAAGGAACCGGGGGCGAGTACCGGTGAAGCGACTTGACAAGGCTGCAGCAGGAGCCCGTGGAAGGGCAGCTCTCCGCACCCAGACCTTTAGTCCCACGGCTGCGCCTCGAAAGATTTCAGCTGTCTCGCTTCCCGCTTTGGGCGAGGGGAAGCAAAACTACTTTGCAATGCAGAGAACGAAGACGAAGGCATCAAAGAGGCAGCATCCGTAGTTGTAATCCAACACCAGGGCTCCTCGGGGAGGCTTTCCGATCCAGCGCTGGCTGGCCTCCATCCTGCGGTTCCTTCTCATGGCCGTTGGCACGAGGACAGGCTGAGCACTAATGGGGCAAAACGCTCTCCGAGGCCCCATCGCCAGCTGAGTCCCGGGGTCCGAGCCCGTCCTCCACAAGATGTACGTCTGATTTTTGTAACTCACGCTTTGCCAGGCTGCCGGCTCAGTGAACACCCCGGGGCAGGAATTACTTCAGGCTCGGGAGCGGCGGCGCGGCAGCGGAGCGGGAGCCGTGCACGAGCAGCGACGGCAGTAACCCGGTTGTCACTTTGCGCTGCTCCTGCAGACAATTCGACACCTCCAAGGAACAGCACGAGAGCAGCAGTGATAAAATGGCTGTTCCTCTGCACACAAGGTCACGTTCTAGGACATTAACCAGAGTCCTCGGAAGCCGGCTTGCGAAAGACCCATGAAGAGCAAAGACACCTGACCAGACTGCAAAAGCAGAGCCGCGCACGTAACACCTTTTTTTTTTTCAAATCTCTTCAAAATAGCTTTAAAGAAAGGGCGAGCTCAAACCAGCGTTAGCAGTTTGAGTGGCTATTTGCTGTAGAAAACGAGCGGTTTCAGCAAAAATATCCGATGACTGCCATCCAGAAAGCTCTTATTTGCAGTACCTCAGCGATTCACATCTCTAAATAAAACATTCAAGCCGCAATACAACACAACTGTTGTGCAGGGGCTAATAAATAAATGAAAAGTATTTACCAAGCCTGCTTTTCTGTAGGAATAACACTCCTAACATCCTCAAATTATCTCCGTCTGCGTCTGGCTAGGACTTCAAATCAATAAATCCTCCCCTCATCCTCGGATGAGCACAGTCAGATCATTTCGAAAGCAGCGGCTGCAGTTCCCCGCTATTAGTCCTAACAGCTCTGCCAGCTGAATTAACACGAGATCCCCCTCGTTACCCGAGAGCAATCGCTCCGCCAGTGTCCTTGGGTAATAATTTGCACTGACCTCGACAACAGTTTGGGAGTAGACTGAGAACCGGCTGCGACGTGGGTTTCCTTTCCAGGCACATTAACTGCCTGGCATTCAGTCTTCCCGCCCCCAGAGTGGCTCCCTACTGCAAGAGCCGGGATGTGGCAACGTCGGTTGAGGGAAGCGGCGCTGATTTATGGTGCAGGGAGACCTGGCCTTGTGAAGCCAACGGCAATCGAAAGCCAACGACGACAGGACATTCAGGAGGCGAGAGCTGGGGTAAAGGAGATCACAACAACTTGTCTGGAGCCCCAGGCTGCTGGGGAGCGGCTGGGGGAGCTGGGGGGGTTCAGCCTGGAGCAGAGGAGGCTGAGGGGAGCCCTCATCGCTGCCTACAACTGCCTGAGAGGAGGGGGGAGCCGGGGGGGGGCAGAGGCGGTGCTGAGGGCCAGGGTTTGGGGGTGGGATGGCAAGGGGAGGGGAACGGTTGGGCTGGGGGAGCTTAAAGAGCTTTGCCAACCTCAACAACTCTATGATTCTATGACTTACTGACGAACCTCTCAGCCCAGCCACCTCTCCCCTCTGCTGCAGCCCCCCAGAGTCACTCCAAGCGAAGAATGCAGCGCTCCCTCTTTCCATCCTTAAACCATGCAGCTCCCGGGGCTGCGTCCTGCATCGCAGCAGGCTTCCGCTTCAGATCTCTGCAGGCTTTTCACCAGGGCGATGCTCAAAATGTGGCATTTCTGTTCTGCTCAGAAGTCTACCACATCAAAAATACATGAAGTTTAATATTTGGAATTAAATTTCTGGTAAAACTCTGGCAAAAAAAACCCCAAAAACCCAACATACTTTGGAAAAACTGGAGGCAGATGCAATGAATCCTGGATGCCACAACGCCGAAGTACTCTCTCGGTACCTGGAGTGAGGGAGAAGTCCCCACTACTGGCGGGGGCGGGCACAGAGACGCAGCG